CATAGACCTGAATGTAGATGAGGCTTAGTGATGGGGATGTGGTTCAGGGTGTAGTTTGAAATCTACTGGTATGAGTTTCTGTGGAGACAATACTTGAATCTCTACTCATACACTTATCTTAAAGTGAGTGAACAACTGAACTTAGAATAATACATAAATGCAGAGTTATAGAAGTAAATGTATTCGAAAAACTAGAGGCATCAAACGACATGGTTTGACCTGCAGATCTTATAGAGATTTTCAGTCTGGTGTGTAGGTCTTCGAAGTCATATTATTGCAGATCAGGCCAAAAAAGTTGGTTGTTGGAAGTTCCGACTCAGACCGATAACTAAAGGTCACAACTACAAATGCACATTCACACCCACATCACGACACAGCACTGTGAATTTGACCATATTTCGCACGCAATATGACTCTCATGGCCAGTGTGTTCCGAATGCATGAGGTTCTAATATCTTCACTAAACCTTTTTAATCCGTCTAGAAAGTTGCTCCGAAGGTACGAAATGTCTTTTTTTCTTATTTAGATTCAGGAGCAAGGACGATCAACACATTTCTGAGAGCAACTTGGCAGTAATCATAAAAGAATGCGGGCATAATTGACTATTACTTATAAAGCAGCGAATGTCGCGTCAGACTCGTACTTTGTAAACAGGGAATTTTCAGACTACACACCAGCGGTCTGCTTCAAAAGTGATGAACTCTATCCTATGTCCATCAGCCACACCGCCCATATAATTCGCGCATCTACCAGTCTGGAAAAACTGGATGAAAGAAATCTGAATAGGGAAAAAATTGGATTGTATGAACTCTCAGCATGAAGAAACAGATTGGACGAGAACTAGACAGTGAAAACATTTGATTGGCTAAACTCCTATCACAAAAAATTCTAATTTCAAATAAATTAGCTGAACTCCTCCAAATATATGTGTACAGTGACTTTACATCGGCAGGCAAACATACCAGCATGCAAACTCATTTTGTTTCATATGATCCTCCCTTCAGTCGAGAAAATAAATACAAACACTATATAGAAATAATCATTTTTTTCTTTTGTATTCAAATCAATTATTGTTTTACTACATCGAAATCAAGCAAGAACGTTAGCAAATTCTGGAAAATTGAGTTTATTAGTATCACCTTTGACGAATGAAATTTTTCAATAAAGCGTTTTATTAGACAAAAACAAACTAAACACAATCTTGTAGGATAACATCAGCAAGACATTCGGCTAGAGATTTAATGCAACTTCACGTATATCTAAAAGATCTTCGAAAATAATAAATCCAAGTGGTGGACTTCTTTTTACTAGTTCTTGAAAATGAATATACAAGAGTTGAAGTTGTTTCGGTGTAAAGTCTAAAAGAAACTAAATTTCTATGAAAGGACCTGATCAGAAATCATCAAGACTTTCCTCAATGTGAAAACATTATAAAATGAAAATATCTTAATATTATCCAACAATCTTGATGTCAGTTTATTAAGACCTTGGCCCTTTTGTGGACAAAAACTCTAAAAAAAAAAGTTAAACAGCTAACGAAGGAAGTCTTCAACTAATCAATTGTTTGTTAAGTCAGGACTAGGCGCTTCATGCAGGCTTTAATAAGCTATGAATAACCTTCAAAGAGTTTGGAGTTTTACCTTATTGCTGTTGAGGTACTGAATTTTTACGATATTTTTTAGTGAAATCTCGTAGTCTCCGTCAGAGACACAAGGAAAACTGAATGTCGAATTTCAACTTGAACTTTTGCGTACAGATAGAGCTTAATGAGAATAGTTCATTGTCAAACTTCCAGATCTTTTCATTGTTCCTATCCCAATATAAGAACATTGAATAAACCGGTATATATGAGCGATGTTAAAATCACTCTTTTATCATAGCTGTAAAATAGAATAGGAACAATGATAAGATCTGAAAGCATCATAATGAGCTATTCTCGTTAAACTCGTTCTCTGCCCAAAAATTCAAATCTAAATTAGAAATCCAGTTTTCTCGGTATCTCTAACAGAGAACATTGCATTATGCTAAAAAATACTATAAAAAATTCAATAGCTAGGCAACAATAAGCTAAGGCCTTAAACATTTTGCAGGTTATTCGTCGTTTATGAAAGTCTGCATGGTGCACATAGTCCCAATTTAACAGACAATTGATCAATTGCAACAATATCCTTCGTCAGTGGAGCCCTGCATCGGACTCGGAGTCACTAAAAGAAATTTTTTCCGAGTCAAAGTTGGAGTTACATCATTAAATCAGTCAAATATCTTTACTTTTATATAGCAACTAGTTTAGGCTTCATATGTCAAATAGTACACAAAAATATATTACTTAATAAATTCATAAATAAGTTTCAACAAAAAAACATCAGAGAAATCTTCATTAACAAGTAACACAAAGCGAAGTACATAGTGGCTTCTAAAATTGATCGTACATATTCAATTTCGTTTTTTTTCCATAATGGTCACTCACATAAAGAATCTAAATAGTGATTTGAATTGAGAAGATTGTTTTTAACAAGGATTTGAGGAAAATAAAATCTTTCCAGTATTCTCAAAATCCAGAATCTCGCAGAACAATAGAGCAACTGATTCTATACAAAGTGACATGTCTCCAAGCTCTACACGACATTTTTTTGACGGAACCTACATCAATATTAAGAAACACTCAAAAGTAATTTTTTCACCATCTCATGAAGAAAAACTGAATAGAAAAGACTGTCGAGCTTTTCTTAAAATTTATGTAGTTCAGTCAAAAAAATGTCGTGGAGAGCTCGAAGACATGTCATTTTGTAGAGAATTGGTCTGCTAATTTGTGTAATCAAAAGAAGCTTATATTTTCAGGTTCTGAGGACAGAACAACTAGATTTGGTGCATATTGTGAAGATTTTAGTTCCCTCAAATACTTGTTGGAAACAATTTTCTTTATCCAAGTCACTATTTTGATTCTTTATGCGAGTTACCATTACAGAATAAAATCAAAATTAAATGTATATGATTAATTTTTGAAATCACTGTATATACCAATCAAAAAATATTTTTCGAAGTCAGAGTTGGAAAAAACTTAACTCCGCACGGTTCTATTCGTCAGTTGTCTAATTTTTTTTGCAAGAGTGCATCGCGTGTCTTGATATTCCTTAAGTTTTTGTCCACAAGAGGAATAAAATGTTGATAAATTGACATTCAGGTAGAGTCGTATACTGTTACTTTTATTTTATAATCTTTTCAAAATGAGGAAAGATCTGATGATTTCTGATCAGATTCTTTTATATAAAAAAAAACAAAATTTATCAATTTCTTCACAAATCATTTGTAATTTCTCCTGCAACAAGAATTTACTTTTATTCGATCTTATGATTATAAGTATTTATAAGACGATCATATACCTCAATAGTCTAAAACATTTTTTTTTTATTCTTAAAAAACCTATGAATCGATTATGATCATATTGATGTAATTCATTCATTTAGCTGTAAAACAACAATAAAATCCTTTAGCCATTCATCAATAAATTCGTCTCAAACATTGCAGCAATAAAAGAAAAAGAAAAACCATTGACATATGTTATGTATTTTGCTTTTAAATAAATTTTATATTTGTATTTTTAAACAGAGATTTTTATTTCTTTCATTACATACAAACGCATACACATTACATAAAATAAACGGCAACTTGCAACGATAAATGAAATGAATCAAAAGAAAAAACAATATAGGAGTAATAAATATAAATCAAAAAGCAAAAAAAAAGGATTTCATACATCACGATTGAATTTTGCTTAAAAATAAAAGACAAAACAAAAAATAATTGATTACGGATTTGTATCAATGTAATATTCCTCTGTTTTTTTTTTCATTTAAGATAAATATAAAATCAAAGCAAAAGTAAGCCCTGTAAACATAGTTCACATAGAATAAAAAATAATTTTAGAGTTCATCAATTTCATATTTTATTTTTTAAAAATGAAAAATAATTTTAATTTGTGCGTCTTTTTTTGTTCTATCTGACAAAAAAAACATATTCATGTTGGACGGGGAATAAATGGGATGTATGAAATAAAAACAAAAAAAAAACGGAAAACTGTGTAATTTTATGCATATTAATTGTGCATTTTGGATAGCTTTTGACTAGATTTGGTGTTTTTTTTTGTATACCAAAACAAAATTTTATTCATTAACAATTTCATTTCAATTTGCAATATTGACAACGAAATAATAAACATCGTTTAAAATATTCACCAATTCGAGTAAATGGTATCGAACCACATTTACCAACAGGACCAATTAAGCACATAATGGTAAAAAGAAAAACATTGAAAATACCCATGATGTAAGCACTAGAAGAATAATTCAAATGAAAAAAAAATCTTTGTTTTTTTTTGAAATTAAAACAAAAAAAAATATGTTTTACATACTAATTGTCATTAAAAATTGTCCCATTTGTCGAAATGCAGTAAGCGATGATAATGTCATTGAAAATCTAGCTGCAAATGTTGTAAATGCCGCCATAAAAACAGCTGAACCAACACGAGATATTGATTCTGTTACACGTGTTTCACGTTCGATTTGTTGTTGTTTATATATTAAATGATAAGTACTCATTTCTAGAAATCAAAAAATATATTTTACTTTATTTTGTGAAATACAATCGAAAAGGAGTGTTGAAGTATATAGATTAGAAATTCGTATCCCTCACAGACCGTGAGAGACGTTATTGATATACGATTTGTGATCGTATATCAATAAAGTCTCATTATAATATATGAACTACTTCCTTATTACATTTCTGAAGGATTAAGTGAAAGGACGGTGAGGAAATGTGACCCAAAATAGATAAAATAATATTATCTTTCAGTAATTAGCAACAGCAGCTATATCGTGTTTCGTATTTTAATCCTGCAGGAATTGCGATAATAGTGTTTTTTTAAAAATAGACAAGGACAACTTACTACGAGGAATTCGTATTTCCATATTATCAGGAGGTTCTGTTGGTGTTGATATTGATGATAAATAATGTTGTTTTATTTTTTTTCGTTCATGATCAATATCTGCTGAATCTGTATGAATATAGCCAACACCAAAATGAACAACAAAATCTACTGAAAGACTAACAGACATAATAACAATAATAGCTTCAACTATTCCTAATTCCCATTTTAATGCAGCAAATATTGCAACACTAACAGCTAAAATAAATAAAAACAATTTTTTTTAAAATAAAAAACACCCCAATTTCTATAAAAGAAAACAAAATAACAACTGTAGTTACCAATAACAAAAGTAATTGTAATTAAAGCATAAACTGCAATAAATAAATTGCCTGATGTAAGAAAAAGTACAAATAAAGCAATACCAAGTGATGCAATTAGAGATGAATAAGAACCAACAAATAATTCACGTTGAACACCATAAAATGCAAAACCCGGAGAAGAAAACCATACATGTTGTAAATGTTTTGGTGCATTTTGTTTTATATATGGATCAAAGAAATTTTTTACTTTGAAATAATAATGGGTGTCACGTAAGTTCTGATCCCCTCATCAAATATTTTTTTTCTTACATGTTTCTGCATTCGAAGAGACTGATATTTTCAGTATTTATACTAGATGTCTAGATCTACTCTATACTAGAATTTCACGTTTCTACTTATTTCTGTTACAGTGATACAAGCATCACCAAAAATAATAAGAATTTTTGAATTGTAACTAGAACCAACTATGGACGAGAAAAATTGCATCCAGTCTATAACGGATCGCTATCCGG